AATTTTAAATTTTAATTTCATTTATTATTATTTAATAAAAAAAGAGACATTAAGAAGGGACAAAAAGACAAAAACAACGACGGGGACCCCGCCGTCCTGTGAACTAGTGTGCAGCCCCGGCATGAAGAAAGAGAGCCTCATGACAGATTGGCAAGCTCCGTACAATTTTGTTTTCTGAAAATAAAATTTCCAATTTCAAGAAATTAAGGAGAATTGTGTTTTTTAATTAAGAGAAAAAAAAAAAGAAGTTATGTTAAAAAACGTATAAAAACAACTTTAATAAATTTTATTTAATAAAGACAATTAAATATATTTTTTATAACCTGTATACCGTATGAATTGGAAAAAAAACATTTCTAAAAATTAAAACTAAATAAATTGTATAAACAAAAAAGAAGAAGTCAAACTACATATTTTAACGTGCAAATGCATAATCCAGCTGCTAAATTTATTAAAATAACTTTAATAAAATTTTTTATGTTATTTTATTAATAATATTTTAATAATATTAATAACTAAATTACACTTTCAAAGGTTCAGTCTGATGTAAATCTTTTATATAAAAATAAATGAAATTGGTCCGTCTGCAATTATTCTGGAAGGACAACAGGGAAACTAGTACAGTAGCACATCCATGTCCATGTGCCATCGAGCCCATCCCTGATTTTCTTGAACCTGGTCTCCACATCAGAAAGTGGGATCCACAAAGTTGCTGATGTGGATAACTTTCCAAAAGAGCATACAACAATGTTTTTTTTTATTTGTTTTTTGACAATTCGGGATTTCACAAGACCAATTATTGATCTTGAGACTTGAGGAACCCAAATTGTGTAGTCATCCTTCCACTGTCAATAATTGATTTTTTTAGTTTCGGCGGAGCTCAATAGATTAAAAATGTGTCTTATACAAAAATTTATTTAATTTATCTAATTTTCAGTTATTCAAAAATAAATTTAATTTCTTGGACAAATCACAAATGTAGAGCTTGAATTTGTCTGTATGTAGCTAATACGAAAAAAATGTGATGGGGTTTGAATTTTTCTTTTTTTTTCTCGGAAGAAGGAAGGAAGGAAAAAGTTGAGGATCCGAAGTCCTCTGTGATTTCTCTCAGCCTATACAAAGGTATAAATTTGTAGACTTCCACAAGAAGATAGAATTGTGTAGCTTAAAGCTAAGTGTGTTGAATATAAATAGGATTGATGCAACAATTACAGGCGCAGGCACTTTGGATTCTTTCTCATCTTGGTCATTCTTCTATAGACTGTTCTAGATGCTTCTGCAAGACTGCAACTTCAATTTTCTTTTTTCAGTTTGCATAGTATCCCCCAGGAAAGTGCCTGAACAAAAGCCAAAATTCAATGTAAAGTTCGGCTCTTTTCAGCAACCACTTTGTTATTTATCACAATCACATCATATATATCTTTTACACCCCCATAACAAAAAAAAAGGGTGAGGTGGGACTGCAATGTAAGATTGGGAAAAAAACTATAGAAATAGCATTACTGTTAATAATTAATTAAAAGTCCCAAGAAGGTATCTTAGTTTATTAGAGCCTGAAACTCTTGGTTTTTTTTTTTTCCCCCGTATAGCGGTTTTTTTTACTTGTTCATATAAACTAAGAATCTAATTAATATATTTTTTTAATTATTAAATTATATAAAAAAAATTGAACCTGACCTATAAGATCGAATGGCATTTGCCACTCTTATAAAAGGTCGCCTTCTCCCATTCTCTGGGTAACATGCAGTTCAATCTAATCCCATGACAATTGTTTAAAAAAAATTATATAAAAAATTATAAATTAACTTTAATTTTAATAATTAATTAATTTAATTAATATACGTAATATTTATTTTAAAATTAATATTAATTTTTTATTTTTTTATAATTTAATGATTAAAAAATATATTAATTATACAAGGTTGAGAATATTAAGTGTGCATCGGAAGATGCTGTAGGGTAGTGGCGTTTGGGGTGGTCAAAGTTGGGCTGACTTGGCATTAAAAGTAACACAACAAGTGATGGCATAGAACAATTTTATGATCAATCACTTTGGCTAGGAACCTGAAATTGAACCTCTCTGGCTCCCAGACGACCAAACAATCCCTAAATCCACCATAGCTCATGCATGGAGGTGAAGGAGAAAACATGATTAATTATTCATGAATAATGAGCCAAATAATAAAAAAAGATGGACCACCCTGCTTTCTACTAGGTCTATTAATCACCATGTGACATTATAGAAGTTGATCGGAATGAGGTAATTTGAACTTTCCATTGGACCGACCTTCCTCCACCCATCCCATCACATAATATATCATTTCAAAAGAAAGCCATGAAATATGTGTATAGAATGGTCCCTGTAAATGATCTTGTGGGATCTTGAGTCTTGACCACTAACCTGGAGGGGTTTTAAATCAATCTCATTCATGGCATGTCGTCGCTGACTCAGTTTTAGTCTATTTCAGCCTTTCAGGACATGAAATGGTTAAATGAAACTGATGATAAATATCTCTTTCTTATGACCGTCAAACATGGAATTGAAAACCTCCATATGTCACGACCATCGCTTTCAATTCTATCGGCAACAAATTAAAAACAAAGATAAAAGGTTGTATGTGATGTTAATGGGTCATGGTCAGCCACGTATGAAGCTCTTTCTTCCTGCAGCATTTTTTATTAGAGAGAAAATATGTAGGGTTTGTTGTCAATGTACCTATAAATTTAAAACCCTAGCTACAATATTTTGAATTTTGCGTGTGTGACTGTCCCTTCAAACAGTTGTTTTTTTTTTTTTTTTGGCCTTCAAACAATTGTTTGGTTTCCTTAATCAAACTACAAAAAAGAAAGAAAAATATAAAAAAATTAATTATTTGACAAGTTAGGTTTGAAGAATGATTAAGAAGAAAAAAATGATAAGCACCAATCAGGCCTCTTCGTTTTTAACTTGTAAGTTTCTTTTATATAGTATGTAATCAAATATAAGATTATTTTCATTTGAGTACTTGTAGAAATTCTTGAAAAAATGCACGCTCTTATTAGAGCGCGTATTTCTTAATTATAGATGATGTCAATAGAGATGCTCTAAATCAAAAAGTGTTTGTACTGATCACAAATCAATACTTATTACTTACAATAAAACAAATTTCTCATGATAACAACATCACCATAGATTGGGTAACATGCACAATTGCACATGCCTTGGGCAATGGTCACTGTTTTTCTTCCCAAAATATAACCATTAATCAACACTTGGTATACTAGTAAAAGAAAACGAAAGCAAAATTGACAAGAAAGCTCAAAGACACAGAGCCAAACGAATCATTGCCTTTGATGTATCCAGAAACATATGCAAGGTACCTTGAATCACAAATTGGACCCCATATATTTGGGTAATCAAGCAATAACGAAATTACTATACTACTATTGCTCCTATTAAGAATTACGGTGTGTCATTGTCATCTTTTCAAAATTACAGCTGGCCTAGACTATTGGCTCTTCGGCATGCCAAAGAACAGAGACTATACAATTTTACTTGAACAATGTCAACAGCAAAATGTCCAATTATTAATAACCCCCTCAATTAATGCACGAAACTGACGAGAAAGTATTGTGATGTATTATTCCCCTGCAAAAATTCACTAGGGTTGGTTTTGGTCTCCTCATCTGATAGTACATTTTACAATTACTCTTTTCATTTTTATTTATTTGCTCATATAATTAACTCTCAATTATTTTTGTATAAAAATAATAATTGATATTTGTTAAAAAATTTTAATACATAATTTTAATTGAGTAGTTTCATTTCACTAATAAAAATTT